TTTTGTTAATATTGTAAGAAAACTGATAATAGACGCTATGAAATTACAAAAACTAACTCATAGAAGCACCTTGGATGCTCTAACCCTCGTGTACGAATTGTACATTCAAAAATACGTTATCGAAACTAAAATAAACTAAATAAACTTTTGTTTTCAAGGTAGTAATAAAAAGAAAACACAAAAATTTTATTTTTGCTTTTACTAGACTCGATCGACATTATTCGCTGAAATATTGTAATAACTATTTGTTTGTCTAATTGTATGAAAATATTTAAAATATTTTTCATAATCTTAATTTATGAAATCTGATTCATTTTCCTAATGACTAATATATTTTTTTTATATTATGAATATTATATATATTTAATATTATGAAAAATATTTGGTATTTCAATTAACGAAATGATAAATAGTTTAAATACGAAATTATAGTAATTATAATAATATGTATTAAATAATAAGCTAATGGAACACGATACAAATTATTATTAAGAATATTCATAGTTCATTAGAAGTAAATAACATTTAGAAGTCGATATTCCCACAAAATAAAACGATCTTTCATATGATAATCCACGAGTTTTCCCATGCCAGTGTAAAACTGTGTGTAATGAAGCTCCGTATGTAAACGCAAAATGCGTAATTGAAGGATGAAAATTTGCCGCTGATCAAGAGTTATTGCACTAACCGACCGTGCATAGTAAGAACTTTTAAATGTAAGCATACAACTATCAAATAATAAGTTTCTTTATTTTATAATTTTTCTGTGTTATAAAAATAATAATACTCAAATAAATTGTTTGTGAATAATTATATATAGATATATTTTGTATTTACATTCGTAAATGTATATGTAAGTTCAATTTACTTATCAAGTATTTTTAGCAAAGCAATTTTAGAAAGAATTAAAAAAAAATAGAATTCATTAATGGCTATTAATTTTCGTTAATTATCAATGCTCATTATGTACAATTTACAATACTCTACAATACTATTTCATATTTGTCTATATTTTATTATTGTATATTTGTGATTTTATGATTGTATATTCATAGAATTATGCCTGTTCGTGATTTAAAAAGTAAAAATAATCAATTCGTAAATTTAATTAAGCAAAAGGCGTTAATGTATATTAAATTATTTAATTTATATTTTATAGTGATTTATTTTATCAATTTTTCGTATCTTTTTTAACTAATTTATTTTGTATGTATTAAGTATGGATGAATGCAAATTTACAAAACTCTCAGGTGAAATAATAATTTATTAATAATTCAATGTATTGTAATTAATTAATTATGATATAATAATAATCAAACATAATAATAATCAATAAATAAATTAAATAAAGTTTCTTGACTTTTAATTCTTTTTAATACATACTTTCACAAAAATCATAATAAATGAAGTTTATATCTAGAGTATGTGTGTGTGTGTGTGCGTGCGTGTGTGTGTGTGTGTGTTATGTACACGAATAAGTTGCAGAAGCTCTCGTAAGTAATCACATATCGTAAATGTATAATAAAATATAAAATGAATGATTCCGTCTACCGTCATATTATTATTATAAAATAAAATCTTGTTCTATATGACTATTTCTAAGTCACAGCAAACAATTAATCATTTTATTCTTTTTTATCTTTAATGCATTG